ATATCAAATATACACAAATTACAATATAAGGATTGTTGTAGGAGAAAAACGCTGTCTGTTTAAAGGAGAAAGAAATTGCAAAATGAGATAAACTAAGCAAAATGCTCACAATAATTCCAAGTAAATCACATTTTTAAGAGTATTTTAATGTCACTAATATGTAAAAATTACACATTTTCAAACATGATACAAATATTGTAGCTGCTATTTCCCGAAAGTTTATGTTGACAGTTACATAATTAGAGTTACAACAAATGCCTGAACTCCAGAACACGCCATTGCTCACTTTTGTGATGTTCCCTACAGTAGCAGACACAGGAGGAAACATCTGGACTCTGCACGAGTCACTTGGTCACATTTTCCTGTCCTCCTACACAGCAACAAAGATCTTAGAACTATGCTCTTAAATGCTTCAGAGCTCATTTCCAGCAATAAAAGGAATAAAAAAATATGGGGCTGGCCCTATGGCACAGCAGTTAAGTGTGCATGTTCCGCTTTGGCAGCCCAGGGTTCACCAGTTCGGATCCCAGGTGTGGACATGGCACTGCTTGTCAAGCCATGCTGTGGTAGGCGTCCCACGTATAAAGTAGAGGAAGATGGGCATTGATGTTAGCTCAGAGCCAGTCTTCCTCAGCAAAAAGAGGAGGATTGGCAACAGATGTTAGCTCAGGGCTAATCTTCCTCAAAAAAAAAAAGTAATAAAAAATAAAAGGAAAAAAATTAACATTAAAAAGGAATTTTTACAATTCTAGTTTTCCTAGCCAATATATGATTGAAAAGTAGTCTCCTAGGATTGTGTCATTACAGGGAAAAAGAAGCCATCACGTGTGATTCTGTCAACTTCCTGCACAGAATTTCTCTACTTAGCAGCTAGATGAATAAGCTCCTGCAAATAGACAACAGTTACTACTCAGAAACACTGTGAATAGGCAGAAGTTCATTCATGTAAGTTAGTTCTGGCTGCTCATAATAGGATTTCTTCCGGTGATAACACTCACCAGCCAAATATGCTCAGCAAAATACCACACACAACCTTTCCATCTTGACCTCTTCCCATGCCAACAGTTTTCAGTAAATCAAATACCTTCAAGTAACGCTGCAAATCAAGTATTAAAAAGTACCCATCTGGGGTCAGCCCCGCGGCCGAGTGGTTAAGTTCGTGTGCTCCACTTCGGCGGCCCAGGGTTTCGCCGGTTCGGATCCTGGGTATGGACATGGCACCACTCATCAGGCCATGTTGAGGCAGCATCCCACGTGCCACAACTAGAAGGACCCACAATTAAAACTACACAATTATGTACTTGGGGGGCTTTGGAGAGACAAAGGAAAAATAAAATCTTAAAAAAATAAAGTACCCATCTGTACTCCCTTCTTGGTGATATGCAAAGAAGGGAAAAATTATTTTCATTATCATGTGGAAGAAATTGTTACTCACTAGGTAGGACTGGCTAAGGGGGCAGATATAATAGTAACAGACTTACAATAAGGGGAATTTGGGTAGCACACATAAAATTCCACCATCATGTAAGTCCCAGCAGTATTCAGTATATTTTTTTAAGTTTTATGTTTTTTTCTTAAGTTGTATCAGAACTGTGGGGATATTTGCAAAGTGAATTTAGGATTCAGACATTTTTGAACATGGAAACAACTGCAAAGACATCACGGAGGAAGAAAGCCTGGAAGGATAGGTAGGATTCTGACAGACAAAGACGAGAGAAGTACATTCCAGGAGACAGCAGAAGAGCCCAGGCAGAGGCTTCTGGAAGGAGCAGGCCGAATGTGTGTGACTGGCGCCCCGTGGAAGCCATAGGAAGGCAGACAGTGCAGGCCACGGGGGACTGAATGTCCTGCCTTCAAGAGAAGTTAGGACTTTCTCAGAAAATCAAGAGAAGCCCCTGCAGATGTGTGACTGGGGAGGAACCAGGCCAGCACTACTTACTAAGAATATTCATTTTCGATTATTCAGAACAATCTTATCAAAATGACCTTCGCATTCTCGCCTTAAGCCTCATGCCAGCAAGGTTTTATATTTAAATTAAAAAATTTTTAAAAACACAAACCTGATTCCAGAAAGTCTGCAGAATAATGTAAATGTTTACTGAAATCTCTTGAAAAGGCAGAGGGGCCATAATATACATCAAAATTGTCTAAAAGTTTCCCTTATACTTCTATCTCCCCACGTCTCACACCAACTCTTCTTCTGTCCCAAATTCCTCCAAACCTCTCCTCTCCTCCCACCGCTGCCCAGCTCTCAGACGTCTGATCTTGTCTTTATTTCAGTGGCAAGGACTCCAACGCTCCCGTTCTCTGGACAGAGTTTGGGGTAGGATTCTTTGCCCCATTCTTCTGATATGATGGTTAGAGACAATGGGAGGATAGAAGGAGTAAAAGCTATGAAAACACACACTTTCTAATTCTTATCCCAATAAGACAGGCTCTGGCAGGGGGCACTAATGGAGCTGGGGAGACACTCTAGAAGGTCAATGTGACACTGTCATGAGGGCTTGAACTGGGGTGATGGGAAGGCAAAAAAGGGGAAGAATTAGATTCTAGAGACATTTGAAGCATGATTTGTTAACTAAGCTGAACTCCTCGAGAACAAGAGCCAACAATATTGGTTAACTTTGTATTGCCAGGCCCATCAGAGCGAGACCTCAAACATGTGTTGAATGGGTAGATGAACAGATGAATAAATGCATGAACAATGGGCGGGCTGTGGGGAGGAGGGAGAGCCAAGGATGGTAAATCCCAAGTGTACCTGAGAACCTGACACTCACATCTCCTCCTATCCCCCATCCCACAATCTTAATGGTATCCTCCTGGTCCCCGGCTCCACCAGGCTTTCGCCCTCGCTGCTCCCTCTACCTGCAATGGTCCCACTACCAGGAGCCTCACACCGGTATTTAGGGAGATTGCCTAACCTACAAAAAAGGGAGAGCGCACAACTGCACATGCAGCAAGGATTTCAGAGCCCAGAGCACGTATCTTAGGTCTGGGTGATGGTGCTTATTATTGTTGCAGAATTAAAGCAGTGGAATTCCAGATGCATCTGGCAGGGATGGGAGTCTTCTGCCTCCAGAGCCTAGGAGATGTTTCCTCCTGAATGAGCTATGACCCCCACCAGCATCCCTGAGCATGTCCTGTGAGAACATCCAGATCAGTCGTCCTCTATTCTCATGTCCTTCTTGCTCCCTGATCCACACCTAGGTGTTGCACTCACAGACTCAGATATAGATGGAATGAGCCACCGCTTCTCCTCATGTTAATAAACTACAATAATCGAAAGATGAGACCCTCATAAACAGCTACAGAAAACAGTGGACTTTGAGGGTGACCCACAGATCACTTTTTCTTAGGCTATACTGTTTTTTAAAACTTTGGATTGTGGCCACTTTTATTTTAACTTTTAATAAAATATTCTGTTTTCTCCTTTGTAACTCACTTCAGTAAGTCTTCACTGTCTTTTAACCAAAGAGAAAAGATCTGTTAAAAACTTAAATGAAACAGGTGGGAATTAATGTGTTATCAGAAACGTTCCTGTAGTTTGAGACTTTCTCCCACTCTTCTACATTCTAAAGTGACATGTCATTCTCTGAGATAAATATTTGGGCTAACAGTAATTTCAAGTCCAAGTATATGAAAGGGGAGGCACCCTCACTGCATCGCTGCTGTGGTCACTTCCTGTCCCACCTCTCCTCCCTGAAAGCCCTGTGCTGGCCTGTCACCCTGGAGAGCTCTGGCCAGGTCCTGGACAGGGGGCGCTCAGCAACCCACCTCAGCTTCCCAGGCTGTCTCCATCACCTCCTTCGCTCCTGTCACTGCCCCCTTCCTTAGGTTTACCTGTGCACCAGCCTGCCCCTCCCTCCACATGCAGAATGTGCCCTCGGAGAGTCCACACACCTGGCTGCCTGCTCCTCTGGGTGACTTCAGCACTGTGCATGATGACTGGCATGTAACAGCTACTCCATGAAAGTTGGTGGAGTGAATAAGTATATATTTATATCATAACGATTATAAAAGAAAAATGATGTTAAGTAATCCCTCTTTGCTTTCTTAAAAGTGCAAAAGAGTTAGGAGATGACAGCAAGGGGGAGCCCGCTGGGCTTCCCCAGGCAGCAGGAGCTGTGTCCTGTCAGCAGGCCGGCGGCCTTGAGGGGCCCTTCTGCTCCCTGCCAAGGGGGGCAGCTCCACCTTACCCTATATTTTCACAGGCTCTAAACAGAAACACTTTTGAGTAGCTTCCCTCTTCTTTCCTCACTACTTTCCTTCCTGCTCTGCGCGCCCTGCGCTCCTCTGGCCTCCTTGTGCCCTGAGCCTTTACGGTTTCCCGTCAGTTACTGGACTGCTCCACCTTGGAGTGTCTCCTGACCCTCTACATTGGCTATTTTTCCTCCCTCCTCATTCTTCCTCTCACCCCTCCGTGGGCATCTAAGCAGCCAGAAACCTGAGTGCCCGGAGCTGGTTTGGAGCCGCAAGGCAGCGTCAGGGGCCTGCTAAACTGGCCTAGGAAAGGTCAGCGTTACGCCACAGCGGCTTGGTGAAATTCGCGTGCTCCTCCACAGTCCCCGCGGCCAGCTCGGAGGGGGAAGAAAGGAGCACTCCCGAGCATGTTCAGGCGTGACGGCGGTGATCGCGTTTAATTCTCAAAACCCAGGAAGACCCAGAACGAACGAGGATGGTGACAGGTACTTTGTCAGCTGGGAACTGAAACCCAGGTCTTCTGGCTGCCCTACGGCGTCTCAGAAGGCCTCTCACCCCGAGGAAGCGCCCTATCAAGGGCGTTCCTTTGTGCGATGGGCTTTGTTGTTACCTAAGTCTCAACAGTGGTAAATCTAATCCACTCATTACCCCTTTCCCTGAGAACCGGCTACCTGCAGAGGGTCTATTGTCTGCTGTGTTTCGTTCAGGCTTCCCAAAGCGAGTGCCTCTCCCGGCTCTGAGAGTAACCCCCTAAGCGCCAGGCTCAGCGCCAAGGACCGGCTGGGACTGGCACTTCTTACCTGCACTCCGGGAGGCACTGGAAGCAGGGCCGGCTCCGGCCGCGGGGAGGAAAAGCGACGGCTTGGGTTCCTCGTTTGCGACGCGGGCTCCCCTGCGCCCCCGGGGCCTCCCCTGGGTCTCATGCGGGGCCAAAACCAGCGCGAGCAGGAGCAGCGCGGGCAGCGTGGCGCCCGGCTTGGCCGGACGCATGTCCGCTTGCCCGAGGACTGGGCTGGGGGCTCGGCGCGGGCGGTCCCGGGGTGCAGCGTGCAGGGCGCCCCAGCAGAGGCCGCCGGACTCCTCCCGGCCCGCCCGCCGCCTCGCCGTGTCCCCGGGGGCTCGGGCCGGAGCTGCACTGGGACGTGGCCCGCTCAGGCCGATCTTGCGCTCTCGGGGTCGCGAGGTGGGACGGCAGCTGCGGACCGCGGGGTTGTCCCCGGGGACAAGGCGAGTCCCAGCGCACGAGATGCTCAGGAGTCAGCGCTGCCTCCCTCGACGGACCTGAGCCCCGCACCCGGGGTTCGCGTGTCCCGCTCCGTCCCAGGGAGGGCTGGGTGCGGACCGCCGCAGCGCCGCCTGTTCTCTCAGGGCTCGGTCTCCCGCCCCCGCCCCCGCCCCGTCTGTGGGGTCAATAGAACCCGCAACTCTGGATCTGGACGGAGGAGAGCAGCGCCGGGACTCGGCCTGCGGGGCAAAGACCGCGATTCTCGAGGCCGAAAGCCGCGGAGCTCTTTCTCCTGCCCAGGGCCCTCCCTCCCGCTGCCCAACCTGCCCGGCGGGAGCTCCGCCCGGCGCGGCGCTGCCCTCGGTGGGGCGGGGGCGGCGCTGGGGCCCGGGGTCTGGGCTCCGCACCGCCCTCCGCGGACGCCCAGCTCCTCTGGCCTCCTGTTGGAGTTCCTCCCGGGAGTCCCCAGTGTGGGTGCTCACCCCACAGGTGAGATCACCAAGCTTTACCAGTGCGCCCAAGACCGCAGACGGCTAGATGTTTTTTCTTAAGACAAAGAACTCTCCACATGTTTTGTCTATGCTACCGATAGAAAAATGAGATTAAGTCCACTTATTCTGATTCAAATAAAAGTGGACATCTCTGATCAAACCGTTGCTCTGTAAATTATTGTGATTTTACTCATCTCACTAGCCCAGTTTATTGCTTTATATTGAGTAGATTAAGAAATGTTTACATTGCTCGCTAATCAATTGATTGCTAATTATCTTTTCAGATGCAAAGCGGCAAATAGGTGAAAGAGAGAGGGAAGCAATAACCACATTAGGCATTGCTCGAAGTGAAATTACCCTACAAAGAGATTTGTTAGTCACAAAGCCTGAAGAATAATACCAACTCACTCAAATAGTTTTTCCAGACTTTGTATTTCCAACATGTCCAGGAAATTGGGGCAAACATAGCAGGTTTAAAAGAGCCCCATTAAAAGCGTGCTTCTGAATGAAACTCTAGGAAGTTGTTAGACGGCTGAGACTGCCGTTTCGAGTCACTAACGGAAGCTTATAATCTGCTGTTTCCAAAGCACGCGCAATGTCACATGAGAATGGCTTCCATGGTAGGAGACAGAAAAGCGATCTGAGAAAAAAGAATACTTTCCAAGAGTCTCAGAAGGCCCTAGTTGGGTGGAATAAGTTCTCTCTCACAGCTCTACTCAAGTGAAACAGGAAAACAAGTCCACCAACATTGACAAACATTTCAAAAGTTAATTTTAATTAGAAATATAATGAGTTAGGTATGACTATGATAAACAATGAGAAAAATACAGTGTGAAATAATGCTGGTAGAAGAAGTGACACAGAAATGACAATGAGAAATAGACTCCAAATCAACCATCAGGAAGCTGGGTGGTTTCCCTACTTTCTCCACATTGAAACTAAGAAAGTGAGCACTCTGATGAACTTTTCAGAGCCTGACTCTTTGAGCTCTACTTTTTCTCCAGTCGCTAGCCAGGCGACCTTGAGCACGCTAGTTAGCCTCAATTTTCTCTCTGACAAAGTCAAGAGACTGAATTTTAGTAGTTCCCAGACTGCAGTGTAACATGTGAAAGAAGCACTTGCTGTCTGTCTGTGAAGAGTGCAAATTCTGATAGCCCCAGGGATTTCAGTCCCACGTAGGAAGTGCCCAATGAATCTGCGTTTTAAAGGACTCAGTTGGTTCTGAAGTAAGTGGTCCTTGAAACCCACTTTTATTCATTCATCAAAAATTTTCTGGGGGCTAGCCCCAGGGCATAGTGGTTAAGTCCCGTGTGCTCCACTTCTGTGACCTGGGTTCGTGGATCCTGATCCAGGGCACTCATCTACACCACTGGTCAAGCCGTGCTGTGGCAGCGACCCACATACAAAATAGAGGAAGATTGGCACAGATGTTAGCTCAGGGCTGATCTTCCTCAAGCAAAAAAGAGGAAGATTGGCAACAGAGCAAATCTTCCTCACCAAAAAAAGAAAAATTATCTAAATGCAAAAACTGTAGGCCAGGCACAGTGGAAAATACCAGAGCTACAACTGTGAGTAAAATAGATAAGATCCTCGTCCTTACAAAGCATCTAGCTTCAGGGATCTCATTCTCCAACATAATAGTTTTATCATAAATAAACAGGTTGCTTATAACTAAGTTACTCTTTGCCATTTTTTCCTTGTTTTGTTCATTGTTTACCCTTGACTACCTGTCTTACCAGCCCAACTAAATGCTACTTGCTCTACCTCTTGCTAATTAATTCACAGGCAACTTTAAGTGTTCATATAGATACAATCTCAGTAACATATGCTAACTTATTTGTTTAATAGACTTATTTTTAGAGCAGTTTTAGGTTCACCGCAAAATTGAAAGGAAGATACAGAGATTTCCGGTATACTCCCTGCTCCCCCATACACACCCATAGCCTCCTCCATTATCAACATCCCCAACCAGAGTGATACATTTGTTACAACTGATGAACCTACATTGATACATCATTATCACCCAGAATGCATAGTTTACATTAGGGTTCACTCTTGGTGTTGTACATTCTGTGAGTTAGACAAATGGTATCTACCATTATAGTACTGCATGGAGTAGTTTCACTGCCCTAAAAATCCTCTGTGATCCACTTATTCATCCCTCCCTCTCCTCATTCAACCCCTAGCAACCACTGTCTCAATAATTTTGCTTTTTCCAGAATGTCATTTAGTTGGAATTGTCAACACAAATAATCAATAAGCAATCTATAGATAAGAAAGAGTGATATTTATTGAGCCTAATGGGAAGACTAGCCCAGGGCCACTCTCTTCCACAGGGAAGAAAGCACTCCAGAGAAGTGTGGTCCACAGCATGGTTATATACCATTTCAGAGCAAAGAACATACGTCAAGCATGATAGGAATACAATTTTTTTCCCCAAGTCACAAGGAAATGTTTTGCCAAAGTTTAGTACATTACACAGCAGGTCAATCTGACCATGGTTCTCTGGGAAGAAAAGCTTATCTTCAAAGAAGTACTGGTGTCAGCATCAGAGAGAGAGAGAGAGAGAGAGCGCCTCATCCGTGTTTTAAAGAGTACATTCTTTACTTCAGACAATGTCTGAAGCAGACGTACAATGTATGTTTGGTGGGCCATAAGTCAGGCTGCTCTGGGAAAAACACATTTTAGGCCGAATCAGATTTAAACGAGAATGACTTCCCCATTTACCTCGATATGTGGAAACTTGTTATTATTATTTTCATCAGAATCATACAGAATGTAGGCTTTCCAGATTGGCTTCTTTCATTTAGTAATATGCATTTAAATTTTCTCCAGGGCTTATTATGGTTTGATGGCTCATTTCTTTTTAGCACAGAGTAATGTTCTGTTGTCAGGATGGGCCACACTTTATTCATCCATTCTCCTACTGAAGGACATCTTGGTTGCTTCCACGTTTTGGCAATTCTGAATAAAGCTGCTATAAACATCTGTGTCCAGGTTTTTGTGGATGTGTTTTCAGTTCCTTTGAGTAAATACCAAGGAGTGCAGTGTTTCGTTTTGTGAGAGCCCACCAAACTGTCTTCCAAAGCGGCTGTGCGATTTTGCATTCCCACCAGCATGAGTGAGAGTTCCTGTCGCTCCACATCCTTGTCAGCATTTTGTGTTGCTAACTTGTTCTTAATCTATAAAGGAAGGATATCTGTGTGGAAAAAGGTACTTAGACAGTAACTAATGTTTTAGATAACTCAATATTTAACAGTGAACATATTTTTTTCTTACTAATTTGTTTTTTGTGTTTTTTTTAAAGATTGGCACCTGAGCTAACAACTGTTGCCAATCTTTTTTTTTCTTTCTGCTTTTTCTCCCCAAATCCCCTCAGTGCATAGTTGTATATTTTAGTTGTGGGTCCTCCTAGTTGTGGGATGTGGGACGCTGCCTCAACTTGGCCTGACAAGTGGTGCCACGTCCGCGCCTAGGATCCGAACCAGCGAAGCCCTGGGCCACTGTAGTGGAGCATGAGAATTTAACCACTTGGCCACGGGGCCGGCCCCCATATTTTTTTTTTTAAAGATTGGCCCTGAGCTAACATCTGTTACCGATCTTCCTTTTTTTTCTTCTTCTTCTCCCCAAAGCCCCCCAGTACGTAGTTGTATATTCTAGTTGTAGGTTCTTTTGGCTCTGCTGTGTAGGACATCGCCTCAGCATGGCTTGATGAATAGAGCTAGGTCCACACTCAGGATCCAAACTGGTGAAACCCTGGGCTGCCGCAGCAGAGCACACAAACTCAACACTAGGCCACGGGGCTGGCCCCAACAGTGCACATATTAAAAACAACTTTTTAAGTCTTAAAACTGAAATCTTCATTTCTTTATAAATTAGCTATTAAATTGATCAGGTAAAGTTCCCCTAAATATTTAACACCAACAAACCCTATTCAACATCTCAAATTACAATCACAAATTTAATATATATGATTCTTTCAAACATTTTCTTTTGAGGGGGGTGAGAACATTTAAGTTCTACCCTCTTACCAAAGTTCGGTTGTACAATACAGTGTTATCACCTATAGTCGCCATGTTATACATTAGATCCTCAGAACTTATTTGTCTTATAGCTGAAAGTTTGTACCCTTTTACCAACCTCTGCCTATTTCTCCCCTCCCCAGCCCCTGGAAACCACTTTCTACTCTCTTTCTATGAGTTGATTTTTTTTAATTCCACATATAAATGATATCATACAATATTTGTCTTTCTCTAGCTGGCTTATTTCACATATATATGTCACATCTTCTTTATCTATTCATCTTTTGATGGACACTTAGGATACTTCCATATCTTGGCTATTGTGAATGATGTCTCAGTGAACATAGGAGTGCAGATATCTCTTCAATATCCTGTTTTCATTTCCTTTAGATATACAGTCATGCCCCACATAATGACGTTTCGGTCAACAACGACCCCATATACGACTGAGGTCTCATAAGATCAGTACTGTATAGCCTAGGTGTGTAGTAAGCTATACCATCTAGGTTTGTGTAAGTGCACTCTATGATGTTGCACAGTGATGAAATTGCCTAACAATGCATTTCTCAGAACATATCTCCATCATTAAGTGATGCATGACTGTATACCCAAAAATGAGATTGCTGGATCAGTTCTTCTGTTTTCCACAGAATTTTACCAATTTACATTCCCACCAACAGTACACAGGGGTTTGCTTTTCTCCACATCCTTGGCAACGCTTATTGGCTCTTGTCTTTTTTATAGCAGGCATTCTAACAGGTGTGAGGAGATATCTCAGTGTAATTTTGCTTTGTATTGCCCTAATGATTAGTGACGTTGAGCACCTTTTCATGTACATTTG